AAGAAATTCACTCGACTCGAAGACAGGCAGAACTACAAAGGGATTGGACGGCTGCAGGCATGTTCCAGCAAATTGGCTCCTGGAGTTCATCCCACCAAGTGCAAAGTCATGAAGATTGGGGAAGGCAACAAAAGAAGACTGCAGACGGAGTACGGTCTAGGGGGCAGTGACACAACCTCACTCAAGGAAAAAGATCTTGGGGGCAGTATAACACAGGCACATCTCCTGGAATGCACATCAACCAAATGAATGCTGCTGCATGTGGGCGCCATAGCCAACCTCAGAACGCATTCCGACATCTTAATTAGGAATCGTTTCAGGACCCTGTACCACCGTGTACGTTCGCCATATGGGGTAGCGGCACAGTTTGGAACCACACCTAGCCAAGCTCGTTAAAGAAACTGAGAAAGTGCAAGGTTTTGCAACAAGTACTAGTCCAGAGCTAAAGAGGTAGTCCTACGAGGAGTGGTTAAGGGAAATCAACCTGACGATACTGGGACGGACAGGAGAGATGGGGGGACATGAAACGGACTTCAAAATACTGCGTGGATAGACAAGGTTGACAATTGATAGGATGTTCCAGAGATGGGGTCCACAGAAACAAGGGGACACAATTGGAAGCTGAAGACTCAGATGAGTCAAAGGGATGTTAGGAAGTATTTCTTCAGTCAAAGTTGTGAGGAAGTGAATAGCCGAGAAAGTGACATAATGGAGGCAGGAACCATACATAGCTTTAAGACGAGGTTTGATGAAGCTCATTGAGCAAGGAAAGAGAAGGACTAGTAGAGATAGCAAAGAGGTTGGGCCAGGAGATGTGAATCGACCCCTACCTGGTGGATCAACACCTGGTCAACCAAGCACAGTGGACCCTTGGTTTTCATGTTTAATCCGTTCCAGAGCCAGTAGCCAAAACCAAAACAATTTTCCCCATAAGAAATAATATAAATGGAATTAATCATTCCAGACACCCGAAGTATCACAAAAAAAAAATTTTTTATACCTTAAATTTACATTTACATGCACAAAGGAAAGAACATTAACTGAACACTTTATCTTTTTTAAGATGTTGTTGCTGGAAGAAGGAAAGGCAGGGGGAAAAGTAGAGAGAGGGATAGGTTATTGTTTTGGAAAAGGGAATCCCCCTCCATAAGGACTCTAGGTACCAAGTCCTTATCTGGGATCACTTCCCTCTTTGTTTTTTACTGTCACTAGGACCAGCTTGAGAGTCATTGGACCCCTGTCACACAAAATATCTGTCCAGATATGCCTGTTTCTGGCCTCTCTTTAAGATTTGCCTAAAAGGGGACATGGCATTGTCATTGTAAAAGTTACCAGCACAGATTGGAACAGCTTTCTCAGGGTGATGTTGCTCCACAAATGAATGCACTTTAGTCCACATTGCACAAATCGTTGAAGAAGGCACCTTCTTCCATCTCTCTTCCCCCTCTGAAGCAATTTCCTCAGCTGTGGTCTGTTGCTGTTGCAGATGAAGCTCTTACAGCTCATCAGTGGTTAGCTCTTCATTGTGGTCCTCCACCAACTCTTCCACATTCTCCAAACTCACATCCAGCTCCATGGGATTCCCCAATGCCACAATTGATTGCACAACAGGTGTAGGGTCAACAGGGTCAGCCTCAAACCTTTCAAAATCTTTCTTATGGGCACAATTTGGCCACAAATTTCTTCAAGCAGTGTTCATCATCCTGGAAGTCATTCCTTGCCAAAGCCTTATTATAAGGCCTATGCAGTGAAAGATGCTGAAGTGATTCTTCCAGAACTCTCTTAAGGTCAATTCAGAGTCCGAGGTTATGTCAAAGCACCTTTGAAACATTGCTTTGGAGTACAGTTTTTTGAAGTTTTGCAATGACCTGCTGGTCCATGGGCTGGAGGAGTGGAGTGGTGTTAGGAGGCAAAAATTCACTGTTTACAAAACTGAATTCCTTAGGATTATTGGTCTTCTAGTCTGGAGGATGGCAGGAGGTATTGTCCATTAACAGGAGGCATCTGGAGTGCCAATTTCTTATCAGGAGGTATTTTTTCACACTGGGCCCCAAACACTTCATAAACATTCCAGGAAAATTTCCCTTTGTGACACATGCCTTACTGTTTGCCTTCCACATCTCACACTATTTACTCTTAACAACACTGTTTTCGTTGAACACTCTGGGATTTTCAGAGTGATACACCAGTAAAGGCTTCACTTTGAAATCCCCACTGCATTACCACAAACAGTATGGTTAGGCCTGTCTTTATAGGCTTGTGTTCGAGAGAGGCCTTTTCCTCCTGCATGTGAAGGATGGGTAAAGTTATCAGGTTATAGGTGATGTAGGTACTCTTTGGCATTTTTCTTCCAAAAAGGAGGCTGTTTTATCTCAACTGCAAACACTGTTTGGGGTTGGAATTTTTCAGACTCTACATAACATTTGAATTCCCCAACGAATTTTTCATCCGCTTGTTTGTCTGAAACTGGACACCCTCACCGTGCTTACAACAATGTATGCTGCTTGCTTCTTGAAATTTTAGAACCAGTTTTGTGGCCTTGGAATATTGCCAGAAGGGTGTATTAGCACCCTTTGGCAAGACTGCTGATGGGAGTGAATGATGGTGAAGTTTTTCTTTTTAGGGCCACCCTGCCTTGGTGGGAATCAGCCAGTGTGTTAATAAAAATAAAATAAATAATTGTTTCAGGCAGTTTCTTTATGAGATCCTCATGCAACTGCCTCGCCTTTTCACAAATAATGGACTGCACAACACTATCTCCTGTTTTGTCTGTGCGACTGGGGACTGGAAGGGTTCCGTTTACAGTCATTGATTACCTTAGCCAAAAATCGACGAAAAAAGTCGGCCAAAACCAAAATCGGCGATAACCAAGATCGACGAAAACCAAGGGTCCACTGTACTGATATTTGGTGACTCTCCATACATCTAATGGGTCCCAGATCTCTTACATGATACCTATACCGAGAGGTGAAGAACAGTCACATTACTCTGACTGGAACAATAAACAAATAACTCAATATTTGTCTGTGGTATCAAATCAAGCAAGAGCCAGAAACAATGGATTTGAAAATAAAAAAAATTAGGTTTTGAAATGACAGGTAGGTTTGAGAAGGACCTGCTTAGTATGGGCCAGTAGGCCTGTTGCAGTGTTCCTCCTTTCTTATAGGAGAGAGGAGCTTACAACAACATTTTGGTCCCACCTGGACCGTTTACAAGTCACACTAACACACGAAGGTGAGGAACCAGTGTATGTAGGCGAGGGGGACAGGGACGGGACCAAGAGAGGAAGAACAAGAAGTAGTGGTAAGGCTGGTAGTGGAAGTAGTAGTAGTAGTTGTGGTGGTAGAGGTAGTAGAAAGTAGCGGGAGTAGTTTTTTGCCACAGGAGCTAGAAAGGGGAGCGAAGGGAAGCACTGGTGGTAGTAGTAGAAAAGGTAGAAGCAGAAATAGTATTAGAGGAGTGGTAGTCAACATAGTAGTAGTAAAAAAGGTAGAAGCAGAAATAGTATTAGCGGAGTGGTAGTCAACATGTCTTCATAGGTTTACTGTCTCCTCTGTGCGGGTTATTTGTGTATGGATAATGGTATATAGTACTGACAAGTTGAAGATTAAGATGCATGTCCCACAGTTGGGTATCTTTATTGTTGAAACGTTTCACCTACGCAGTATACTTCTTCAGTATTTGACTGAAGAAGCCTACTGTGTAGGCAAAACGTTTAATCAGTAAAGGGTTATTTGTGTACTGAAAGGTGTGTATGTCTGTGTATATATTCTCTGTTAGATTGTCTCAGTTTATATACACTGTGAGTTTACATGAAGTACTATTTCAGGTATTAATAAATTTTTGACTTGTGGTGTACAATTTGACAAGCAGCCTTAATGATTCCTGTGTAGTAGATAGACTTGAAACACTTTTAACTAGATAGGTTCCCACCCTTCCCTCTGTCTTCTCTGCCTCTGTCATCATGGTATGGTGCCCACTGACTGTTATATTGTCTTCCCTGACAGACTACCTTGGCAAAGAACTAGAGGAGCATGTCAAGACACTCCCAGTTCCCGTCAGAGTGCTACGTACTGGTGCACGCTCTGGGCTCATCCGTGCACGCTTGCTGGGTGCAAAAGAGGTCACAGGTCAGGTTATCACCTTCCTGGATGCACACGTTGAGTGCACAGAAGGTTGGCTGGAACCTTTGCTAGCACGAATTGCTGAGGACAGGTGAGTTGAACCTTTGTTTTTTCCAAGTTTTGTGGGTTTAAGAGTCACTTTGGTCTCTGATATCACTTTAGTGTGGATATCCACACCTTGGTTTCTGATATCATTTTTGTGTGGATATCCCTACCTTGGTTTCTGATATCACATTAGTGTGGATATCCACACCTTGGTCTCTGATATCACATTAGTGTGGATATCCCTACCTTGGTTTCTGATATCACCTTAGTGTGGATATCCTTGTGCATCACACACAAGTAGTTATCATATTCCAGTGAGAAATAATCTAGAATAATGAACAAGTGGATGTTGAGGTCATGGTTGCTAGGCAGCAACCATGACCTCATGATCTTCAACGTGTTGGTATAAAATACCGACACGTTGAAGATTAAGACACATGTGCAACAGTTGGTATCTTTATTGATGAAATGTTTCACTTACACATTAGACTTCAGTCAAATACAGAGGGAGCAGTAGTAGTGAAACAAAGATGATGTAATCAGTCCCTTAGCATGGAGAAGACTGCATCTTCATGGTCTGGAGCTGAATTCTTCAGGCTGAGGGACTGACCACCTTAAATACTTTTTCTACAAGGTTGATGGACTGATTATATCATCATGTCACTACTACACCTGCTGCCTCTGTATTTGACTGACGAAGCTTACTGTATAGGCAAAACGATTCATCAATAAAGATACTCAAATGTTGCATATGTTTCTTAATATCCCAGGAATTATATTTTGGATTTTGGTCACAGTTCTTTCATTTGCCACATTGTTAGATCCTCAAGA